ACAATATCTCGCTGGTGTATTGAGAATCCTGTTTTAGTATCGGTTTGTTCGTTCTATGGTAGTTTCGATTTCAATAAGTGATTTATTCGATAGTAGATTTTCTTTATTACTTTTTTTGAGAAAATTCTTAGATAGCTTCGGTCTTTAGTGACCTTCGTGGCGTTTAAGGTGTTAACATGGAAAGCACGTGCATATAAATCAGTACTGTTGATATTGGCGAAAAAAATTTTTGGTTATCATATTCTTTCTTTATTTATTCTTTATTCTACAAATTTTACTCAACAATAATAGTTCAATCGTGTTACTTCGAGACAAAATAGAAAAACAATATGTGCCCGAACGCCGCGTTCGCTTAGGTGTTGATGAATGAACTATCAAAATGTACCCAGAAGTACTAATCTACCTACCCCCTTTCAGAGTAGAAACATTCTTAAATATATATGCACTTCTTTATTTTTTGTCCTTGATACCAACGCATCATTGATGATTCCCCCTTCACAATACTCGGTGTCAACTGCATAAATTGCACTCACTTCCTGATTAAGGGATCTGCTTGTGCCCTGGGATGCTATTGGTACTTAAAACTGGCTTCATGTTAGTGATTGGTTGTTCTGGTCGTTCGATAGGACGTAGAACCAATTGGAGTGCACCATTTTCAGTTCTTTTGTTGCTAACTTTGCAGTGATTGGTTGTAACTGGCGGTCAAGTATCAATTTATTTTTTTAAGTTTGTACATGATTCTTGTACACTGTTATTAGTATATAATGACTTTGTTATTAGAATAGAGTTACAGAATAGGCTCCAACTTTGCTCGTGGATATCATAAGAGCTCACTACACAGTGGTAGTCCCTACACAATAAACGGATACCGGGCAGTTATACTCTGTAATAAAGCAGAACTTTTTAAACTGCGATGTCCAACTTCCCTATCAAACATGGCGATTATTGGCAACCCCCTTTTATAATAAATAATATAAGTCATATTCTAATCCTACGATCCTATTATCCTTCTTATAAATGTGAAAGTTTGTGAGAATGTATAGATGTAAGTTTGTTATTTTTTCACGCAAAAACAGCTGGATCGGTTTGGTTGAAATTTGGCATGTGATAGGTGATGCCCTTCGGGGTCCGTAATGTACCAAAATAACCTATGTAACACCTTTATGAAATTAATTTAGTGCAATAAAATAGAAAGTATTGAGTAAGTATATAAAAGTAACCCACAATTCAACACTGAACGGCTGTTCTGAAACTGAGTTCAATCTTTTTTTACATTTTAAAATAATCTTTAATCAGGACGTTTTGTGGATCATTACAGCTTACTCATGTAAACGGATGAGTATAAAAAAAATAATACAATTTAAGTACATACCTACTGAACATAACTTAAAAATTTAGTTGCAAGATTGCACTTCTTAAACTTCCATACATAATTATGTATATTGCAAGTTAAATAAAATCCTGACATAAAAAGTGATTTTATACTGTCCATTTAGTTAATAATATGACAGTTTTAGTGAATAAAAGGGTCGTTTTGATCTTTCAAGTCCTTCCAAAATGCACGCGCATTATTTGCTTTAAAACAAAGTGTATGCAAAAGTTTAATTGGTTTAAAACCGGTTGCAGTGAGTATGGTCTAACTTCGAAGTATCATAATACAGACTAAGTACGTTAATGCTCATTTAATAAACGACTGGATATCGCCCGATGCTCGGTTCTTAAAGATATCGATAAATGGACTAACAAACACAAAAATTATTATTCAATTCGAACCAGCAGTTTCGGAGATGAGCGCGTCCAAACAAACAAACTTTAAGAGTAAAGCTTTTTAATATTACATTAATTTCTTATATTTTTTAAATTTTTTTTCGCGTTACTCAGCCAAGTTTAGAAAATAAAAGTTCTAAGTTTCTAGATGATTGATATTTATGGGACATATAGAACTTGCCATCTACCATTAACGATTTTCGCGAAACACATCAATCGTAACTAACAACGCGACTGTTTTCAAAACCCGACTGTGTTTATGGCACCGCATCTCCCTGCACGCAGTGTAGACGTGCTTCTTAAAACAATTACCCCCATTCAGTACAGTCACGGTATTACAAAGTAAAGTTATTGTATAATCGTACATTCGATTCCCAACCTTCCAACCTTCACAATAAGTGTCACGTTGCAAACACACCAATTGTTGTATGTGTTTCCAATGAGGTTTTAGTGTCAACGAACTGACATTGTGAATAGATGTTCGCCTTGGTTTTTTCTTCTTGTGTACAAAACTTATGCGAATTCGTTCGATACTGCGCAGTTACGTAAAGTTTGTTTACTTTTTGACTTGATTTGAAAGTGCTATGTGCATTAGATCGCCAACAAACACATGTGGTAACGATTAAAAAGCAAGCTAAGCCAAGGTTCTTGTTACCATCACCATCAGCCTATAAGTGCCCACTGCTGAGCAAAGACCTCTACTCACACGGAGAAGGTTTGAGCATTAATCACAAAGCTTGCTCAAGGCGGATTGGCGATTTCAGACATATAGGTCTAGGTTTCCTTACGATGTTTTCGGTCACAGTATGTCAGGGTGTCTAAATAGTGTAAGAAAGTACACGTAACTCGGAATAAGTCACATTGATACTCGCCAGGTTTCGAACCTTCAAGCATGAGAAGCGGACGCGTTAAACTCCGGTCTACCACGATCTTAGGTTCTTTAACGTCTGTCTTTATCTTACTATTTGGTAGTATTCGGTGAGTCATCACTGTCTTGCATTTTATGATGTAGTAAACATTAGTACATGGTCTTTGTGTTAAAAAGATATCGTGTATCACTATCCCTTTCATTCCTTTAACGTTACATATGTATATGTTTTTCGTTTCATTCCTTTCTATTCCTGACAAAATGGTTGGTTACTTTATAGCACGCAGTGGTTGTAATTGGTGAATTGGTTAACCTAAATAATGCCATTTGGGAATTGTATTATGTATAGCTGGGTGTCCCAGAAGTCGACGTCTAAACGACAATGGGAAAATTAATAGTACAATAGTAATCACAATAATAATAAAAAAAGTCATACAGTAATATTAACACAAGCATTTTACTAATTACTTAATGCATTAGTACAGTGATATTATTAAAACTGCATCGGTGCAACGTTAAAGCAAAAGTTTACAAACAAAGCCAAGTTTTGATTATTTTATCGTCATTACCCCGAATGACCTGCCAAACAAATTATGGTTAATTTACCCATGGAAATATTATTCAAACATCCGTTCAGCTGTTGTTAACAAATTTATAGGACAGGCTAACCGAATTTGTTATGTATTGTTGTGGAAATATGGTTGTTATTTCAGTATTTGCTTACTGTTTTGGACGTGACAAAGAAATGTTGGATTGGATAAGAAAGTAGGACAAAACGACTTATTTGATGAAAGATATAAAAGATATACGCTCAGCATGAGTTTGATAATGCAATTACTTACTCTGTAGTACAAGTATATTGACAGCTGAGTGTGTTTATATAGGAGAAGTAGCAAATAAAACATCTGCCTATGTTTAAAGTTGATTGGGTTCTGATAAAGAATAGTTATTTGTCACTCTTCTTCCTACATTACTGATTGACGATTCTGTAATGTAGGTTCAGAAGAGAATTGGGTAGTTTCCTACGTCAAAAATAAATTAATTCGTAGTTTCAACACAATAAAATATTGCTAAATACAAAAATACTATAACGTCATAACTCAGTTTTAAATACAAAATTCATAAAAAAGTATCGTATTTGACATTTGGATAAAAGTATTGAATTTGACTAGTTGGAAACTACCGTATTGAAATAAGTTATTTGGTCGGACGAGCAGACGAATCACCTAATGGATGCCATGTCGAGGAGTAAGAAGTGCCTTGCTAGCCTTTTCGTAGTTGCTACAGAGGCAATAGACCACCACAGATGTTCAGCCGGGGTTGCGCGTCAAGCGTATTTAGGCACCGCAGCTCTGGTTTGCGAGGGTTTGTCTTACTGAATAAAAACCACCTCGTCCTTTTTCCAGCTCTGGTTTAGAGTAGGAAAAAGGACGAGGTGGTTTTTATTCAGTAAGACAAGCCCTCTCGCCTCTCCTTTGAACGAGAGAAGATATGATGATTTTCACCCTCCAAAAAGCCTTTTCGCGGTTTGAGATGTTAGGATGGGGGGTTTCGGATAGTTCTTTGGCTTTCTTAGTAAGTAATGTTATACCCTTACAAAAGAGGTTACTTACAGACTCATAAATTTTTTGTTGACGGTTTCTAAAGAGCAAATTGCCAAAACTAATGTAGCGTATTTTAATCTGCATCCACCGCATGACATTTTTGCCATTACTCCTAAAGATACCGCACACGTTTCTTAGGAAAATTTTCAGAAAAACTCCTATAAATAGCACATGAATGAGACATATTTAGATCCCGTATTGCGTTTCGTCTATGTCGTGAACTCATTGTCTATGCCACTGCCAAGTAGTAAGTGTGCCGAGACATTAGTTATACATATATCTGCCACCATTTTGAAATTCAATTAGTACCATTGATTGATAGATTGATTGATTGAATTGTCAATTGAACGTTTTATTTAATTATGGTCTTTATTATTCTTGCGTATTCATTCGGTTAAGGTGATATTCGTAGAAATAGAAATATTTTTTGTAGGTATCTTTCTGTTTATGTATGGTGCCAATTTTAATTATTTTATGTTTTTTTTATTCATGTAGGAACGGTAGCCGCGTGTGACAAATAATAACCATGAATTAAAGAGTCCGTTTAAAAACGATATAAATTTTATTAAACTGACAATTTATATTTCATAATTATGGTCTCTTTCATACAGATTGTGCCTATTGCATTTCATTTTACTCGTAGACACCTCATAGAAAACCTCAATTGTATTGAAACCCCCTTACTGAACAAGAAAGACAACTCGACCGAATGACGTAGAAAATTTTTCAAAATATTTATCTATTTTTTTGTTTCTTTCCAGGAGTCGCTGGGCGGTGGAGTGTACGGCTCGGTGGGGGCGTCGGGCGCGGAAGGCGGGGAAAGGCGCGAGGGGGGAAAGCGCGGGCGCAGACCTGGCCGCAAGGCGCAGCTTGACAAACAGGACATGAAGGCCAAGCTAGGTAAGGATTTTATTAAATTGGAAACGAATATTTTATACGTTAAAGTCCGCAAGCGCGGTGGTAGGTTATTAGAAAAGCCTATATCCAGCCTTCGAAGGTGATGATGAGATGAAGATCTATTGCATCTCATTTTATTAACGTTTTGCTATAATTTAAACGCTTGGTAGATAGCTTGAACAAAACAGTTAGTTTACAGACAGTTGACAGAATGATGCTGATCATCCGTCAGTGGCTCTTCGGTTTTGCATTTTTCAACGACAAACAATAAAATGAAAATATACTGTACTGCGGGCCTACCATGTTATACCAGGTCTTATGTGTCGTAATACTTACTTAGAAACGTAATTAGAAAAAAAAACCCTCAATATTCGTCCAGAAATTTCCAACATCATAAGAAAGGAACACCTACCTACATACATACATAAATGAGTTTTGAACAACGACAAGTGCACAAGACACCAAAATCAACATTGTCTTCGTACACACTGGATTATGAATGGCGTTTACTGCGAAGAGGCGTTTCGAAATTGAGAAATTAAGGTCATAATGCCACCATTTGTTTAAATTGGGACGCCATTGATTCTGTTGTGAATACACGTGTTTGAAGATAGAATGCACTTTTAAATTGAGTCTATTCGTTTGTTGTTCGTGAGTTTAATTATTGCTTTTAATAACGAGCATGATAGATACTCTTCTTTTTTTGATTGTTTGGTCTTATATCTGAACATTGGAATTATAGGTATAATTTTGATATACTCTTATGAGGATCTGTCTGATAATGTCGTGGTGGAGGTTAAGTTAGTACCAATGCGACTTTTTGAGTTAGAAGTACTTTCTATGATTATTTAAACACCACTGATATACGATGTAGGAAAACATCGTGAGGGAACCTAGAGTTTTATATTCTAATTATAAGTTTTAAATGGCTAATCCGCTTTAAGCAAGCTTGGTGATTAATGCTTAAACCTTCTCCGTGTGAGAAGAGGCCTTTGCTGAGCAGTGAGCATTTATAGTGATGATGTGATGTGATGAGGATACATTTGACAAACTAACGAAACAACGTACTTAGGGTATGGAATTTGTTCGGTGTTCACCGAAGTCTATCTATAAAAAAAAGTATAGGAGTCTTACGAAAATGTTAACAGATATGATTACACTTGAATTATATTAAAGATATTAAAACACCCAGACAGATAACAGCCGAACATCCGAAGTAAAAAATAAAATGTATATTTATAAAAATGCTCACGTACTTATCTTCAAATTAAATACAATTTTAAGAAATAAGGCGTGTCTTTCTTGGAGATTGTAACGCCGATTAATCATATACTATGTTGGTTTTAATTGGTTAAAAGTGAACTATAGTATGTATAAGTACTCATAAATAATAGTTGATAGACTTTCCAAGTAGATCTACAAGAATTTTTTTTTGTATCAGGTTTTGCAAAGTACTGATGCTCGATTACATGAGTTCGATACAAGTTTTTATCAATTACTCTTCCTAGACACTTCTCTATTATATTGAGAGCTAGCTCTTTTCCCGCAGCTTGGCCCGCGATCCAAAGGAACTATTACCCGTGCCCTAATAAAATATAGCCTATAGCACTCACGCACAGTAACTATCTGTTAGTGAGAGAATTTTGACAATCAGACCAGCGTTTCAAAGATTACCCCTACATACAATATTCCAAATTTTATCTCAAATATCTCAATACATTAACTTTATCCTTCAACCATAGCTTACGATGACTCGTTCCTATGTGTCCTACTATTTATTGTTACCACAAGCCTGACTTGGTTACTCCTGCGCATGTTTAAGCAGAACGCAGCAGGCAGTCTGCGCGGGAGTGTCGAGCGCGCAAAAAGCTCCGCTACCAATACCTTGAGGAGCTGGTGGCGGACCGGGAGCGGTCGGTTCTGGCGCTCAGGAAGGAACTGGATAAGGTTTGTATGTGATCCTTTCTTATATACATACTATGGAACAATGAAACAATGATTGCTTTTTCAAGCAATCAGCGCCATTTGCCGGGCTGTATTGTGACTTTAAACCATCCAGGGCACCACTCAAACGCATTCGGAAAAAAACATTTGAATTGGTCAAGCCGTTTAGGAGGAGTTCAATGACATACACACGTACAACAGAATTATTTATAATTATAAAGAAGATACACTAGCTAAGTAGCTACTGTCCTGCGCTTTCACCCGCTGCTCGACTCCTATTGTCATAGGGTGATGTTTTATGGCCTATATCACTCAGAAAATTATTTTTTGGTTTTTGCTTTATGTATGTTAAGGGTCCTATTTGGAGTGCCAGAGAAAAATAAATATTAGCATACACGGAACACGGAACTCTTTGTGTGATCCACAAATGGTCTGATATAAGATAAAAAATTAAAAGCTGTAAAATATCAAAGATCTTTATCGAAATATGCGTTTACATACAAATGCAGAGCATGCAAGATCTTATAAAGGCAGCAAGTCCATTCATGTTTTCCTAATGCAGTGTACAAAGATTAGTTTTTTTTTGCAGTAGTATATTATATGGATACTATAAAACAATGCCTCTTACACTTTACAGTCAGTAAGACCCTATAACAGTTGCACCAAAATCAAGGCAAGGTTTCTAATATTTCTATATATATCATTTTTCCTCATTAAACTAAATAGCCAATTAAAAACTGTAAATAGATAAGGGAATAATTAATTAGTTTGCCAGTTAAAACTAGACGTTAATTAGACTAGAAATTGCGAGGAAAGTCATTTTAACAGCCAATGCTGAAATTTTATGGTCTTCTCTGTTGAGAATGTATCCATACTTGAGCTCTATCACCTTCTTATCCCTTCTCCTCTCGCTTCCCTCCTTTTCCCACACTATCTTTCTGTTTTTTGCTATTTTGGGCCTAAGGCGGCAATAGAACACATATATGATGTGATGGTAAGAAATTGACGTTCCTAGAGACTTAAGAGCGTTGACAGCTTTTTAAAACGGCTTAAAATTGAGGATTGGGTCATGCAAGTGGTTTTGTTGTAGTACCTACGTAATTAACTATTATGTAGGTATAGTGTAAACTAATGAATTAAATAAATAACTTGAACGTAGGGAACTGACCTTTCCGTATTATTGTTCCAAGATAAACAGTTTGTAAAACAATGTCTTTCTACTTTTCCAGTATTACAAGTGGAATTTGGAGCTAGACCAGGGCAGGATGCCGGAGGGTCTGGAAGCCGTACTCCAAGAGATGGGGATCGTGAAACAGGAGGAGAGTAAATCCTTTTTGACATAACCTTTTTTAATTTACCCTTTAATATAGTATATATAAGTATTATGTAAGGATCGAAGAAGGAATGAAGACTCACATTATTCTGGTGTTCTCGTCAACTCCATGCTATGACAACCGGATTTCGTAAATGGAACATTATCATCATCTGCTATTTGCCAGTAACAAGCCAAGACAACCTCGGCCGTATTCCAACGCAATTAAAATGTATTTTGATATAAGAGATTGATAAAAAGAATATTAGCAACTGCTACGTGCCAGCGACATGATACTGCAGTGTATGCAATCAAATTTGGATCGTTTTTTTCATTTAATTAAGGTGTATTTTGATATTCTCACTTACCGACATTCACGAAGACAATCAATTTTGAACCTTTAACAAGTGTAATTAAGGTTTTTTTAAGAAATAATCGTTGTAAGGACAAGGCGCATTTTTATGGGATAGAATGTGTAGGAGCGAAATGGTCTAACAGGCTTTTATTCTATCTTTATTAAACTGTTTGCAGTAGTACAGATATAATTGAAGTCATGTTACTATTAAAAAGTACAACTAACACCCGTACTGCAACTGTTTCAAGTATTTTTGTACTATTCAACTATAGGTTTTTATGCCTATAAAGACCAAATTCGCTTAACGATTATGATCCTAGAATTTGTATAACAACCCGCTACACTGCCTTTCTTGTCCTTTTTTCGGTTCATTCTCTTATAAATATAGTGTTAAAAAATTGTGTAACGGAAAAAACTGGTTTGATCTGGTTATAACTAATTCACGAAGTTATAATCTAGTTTTGAATATGCTATGCGCATTCTAAAGTCAATATTGTGCAGTATTTTTTTTTATTACATTATATTTTGGGCAACTGTCAAATGGCTTCTAGCTTTTTGGGGTGAAATATTAGGAGGTATTGGATTTCTCTCTAACTAAAACCACCATAATTATAGAAACGGGGGTACCGAATTATCTTCTAGAAAGACTAATAGTTGAGCTAAGTTGACTTAAAACACTTAACTCCATCTTGAAAAACTATTCGAAATGGTACAAAGTAGATTGAATTCCAGTTCTTATTTTAAATACATAATAATATGCTATGTCACCTATATGCCACTGTTTCATCCCTTCTATGTACCATTCGATTGAAGGTCCATTTAAACGCGAACTCAACTTTGCTCAATTGTGTAGCATAACGTTCTGGTATACCTATAATATCTAAGCCTTTAATTTCAGTCCAGGGTTGTGGGTTATAAGCACAATATTGTACTAAAGCTCCGAAATTGGACTGACTAGCAGTGATAAGAATGGGGTGGTTTTTAAACAGTAAGAGTCTGACACTCCCTCTCACCCAGGGTTAGTCAAGCCATTTGATAATTTCCCCCTCAAAAAAGCATACAATTTCAGTATAAAGGATGCCATTTTCTTGAACATACAAGAACTAAGATTGAATGCAAAAAATTCAAAACTAAGTTTTGTTTTGACCATGTCAGTCATTTATTGATTGATTTATTTAATTAATTGTATGCAGCAGGCAAGATTAGTTGTATAATGTATGTAAATGGGGTTAAACAAGCATTTTGGTTAGTTTAAGTCCAATAGACGTATCTGTTTTGCAATTTTGAAACTTAATTAAAACCACTATTAAGGTTTAAAAAAAATGGGTGAAATGTGGACCGTTTTTGTACTATGAAAAAAATAGTGAAGGTATAAAGAAAGCTCCGAAATCAACAAATTATAATTATCATTAACCCTTTTAAAAATACATTGTGTGGGTTTAGGCTTTGAGAGGATGATACAATCCTTCGGTTTACGAAGCTTGTTCGCATTCAGATGAGATTCAACATAACTTAGTATTTTCACTGTCCTCATTTTGATTGCATATTTATTTATATGAAAACATAATTAATTGAAAGCAACAACTCTTATTCATGAGCAACTTGCACGCCTCCATAAAGTCCCGGCGTGACTTATAACTTTTAGAGGCTTTTTCATAATAAATTAACATGATTAAGGTATAGTGACTGATTGTAAAGATTCCGGAAAAGTATGAAAAAATTTTTTATGAAAAATATGTAATTTTAATTCCGCGACAAAATTCCAGGCTTTTTGAAGGATGCAATACCACCTTATGCATTCATGCATATGCACATGCAGCAAAGGAAACATGCATACAAGCCTGGATTTTTGTCGCGGAATTGAAACTCATATTTTTCATAATTTTTAGTGTCATGGATTTCCGCAAAGTAACGCCTGATACTATAAATTATAGGAAAGGAAATGTTTTGAGAACAAAACAATAATGTGAGTCAAGTAATATGGGCTAGCTATAGTTAAGTATTGTCATATTATATTGTATTCAATTTGAATCGGTTATTTTGTTGATAAGTATGTGTTATTTCGGCCAAAATTCTAAATAAGTTGTTTTTTTATATTACTAGTTTTATGGAAAATTTCAAAAATTTCAATGTTTCGCTACGGTTTTATTACGTAATTGTAAGTTTAGTTTTCTTTTTTGTTTTTGTAAATAACCGCATAATTTGCGTGACAATAGTTCGATTTCGAATTTATAATTGACGACATAAAATGTCTCTTTAGTTTTTAATTTACGTTGTTTATTTTTTTTTAAATAAGAATGGTGTGTGCGTGCGTTTGAGACTTTAAAATAGATTTATTTTTAGACCTATTTTGTAATACCTATTTTTATATGGCTGTATCCTAAAAATATTAATGTTAAGAGATGGTCCTTTTAAGGATTGTACATTTATCCTTTGCAATGTCGGAATTGGTGAACGTCGTTTAATAAGCGTATTACGTATTTTTAAGTTTAATTTTTTGTCGTGTGATCTTTAGTATGTTTTTTTTTCTTAATTTCTAGCACATATTTCCTTTTATATTTTAGATTTTGTATGATAGGCGCGCGTCTTGTGTATTGAACGAAATAATGCAAGCTGTCTTTTATTTATTTTAGTCCATCTAAAATTGATGAAACCGTCACTTGTACATATTCTTTTTTCACCTCTGAAAAAAGTTTTTAAATCATTAATGATTTCACCATAATTTCTAAAGAAGCATGACTCAATTACTACTATAAAAATACAGTATATTATTGTATGTATGATTGTGATTGTATGAGTTTATATTTCTTAAACAGTTTTTTTTTTATAATATCGCGTAAAATCTAAGTCCTATATGATCTAAGTTGTAAAAATATTGGGAAAACTTTGCAATGCAATTTGTACTAGCAATTTAAGATATAATTATAATAATATAACAGGAAAAGGTCATGCCTGAATTTAAAAATGTAGTGTTGTATATACAGTTTCTTATATATATATAAGTATGTATGTGATTTTGATGAGATTTTGGTGTGTATGTGTTGTATTGTATGGGTTATTATTATTATTATGTATTTGCTTCTTCCAACGACATGTGCGCGCTTTTACTGAACAACTATTTTATGTATTGTTTTTATTTTTTTTTGTATCATCTTCATTTATCGTTCAGATGTTTTATGTTCATTCATTCATTCATTCATTCATTCATTCAGTCATTCATCATTATTTTTTTTATTTTACTGTAGATCATTCTTTGTCGTCTTCGTAACTATTTCATTTTAGTTTTTTTTTTCATATTTGAAACCCTTTTAAGTTTAGTGTTCAATAAAGTATTTTAAATCATATTCTCTAAAATACGTTTTCTGTAAGGGCACGTGCATTAACTTAGAAAGTCATAATTAATACGTAACTTTGTATAATTTATAAAACATAATTTTTCGTAGTTAATAATTTCTTTTAAGAATTAATTTTTATTTTAGCATATCGTAAAAGTCGTAAACGGCTACTCGTCAACTGAGTGATAAAATCATAGAGTTTTTATTTTTTTAGTCGCCATTTCCAATATGGCGCCTTATCGTTACGTGTTCCGATAAATATGTAAATAGTTTTTAGTTTGAGTTTGCATTTTGATCCCTTTTCTTTCTAACAGTTTTAATTGTAAGTTAATTTAATATAAAAAGAAAATTATCTAGTTCAATAAAGTAAATAGAACATCCACTCAATATCAATCCCCAGTTGTAAGGTGGCAATAAATCCAATAAAAAATTAAAATAGCAACACTAAAAATAGATTCCGTATTTTTTTTTTATTTTATAATAGGTACTAGGTATATAATGCCAAATTATTTTATAAGTATATTTTTAAACAAAAATCGAGCTCTTTACCGTTTCAATTATTAGTTTTAGTTTGTTTTTACTTTATTATTATCATTATTACATATTATATTTTGAACGTGGCTAAATAGTCTTATACTAGTACGCTTTTACTATTAAAATCTTTACTTAATCGGGAGTGAATCAGACTTGATTTAGAAATTCAATTTTCATCGTTTTCTTTTCCTTTTCTAAGGGTTGATTTTTCAATGGTTAGGTAAGAGCTATCTGGGGAATAATTATGATGCTGTCGCGTCAGAATGTTTGTCCGTTTGAGTGATTTCCCAATTTCATAAAAAACACGTCAAGTGCTCACGTTGCAAAAAAAAAATGGCGCCACGCCGCGCCAGATGGCCAAGGTCACAAGATGTTTATGTTTTGTGACGTGTCGGTAATTTAAGTCGCCTCAAGTAATGTTTTTATTCAAGCTAATGAATGACTCTTTCAAGTCGTTCAAGTGTTTGTTGACATTAAGTTTCAAATGTTTTTATTTATAGCTGTAAACAATGACTATAGTTGAAAATGATTGTTTGAACTTTAAAAAAGATTATTTTTAAAAGCTAAGCGGTAACATATATATTTATGACTTGTAATGGTGGAAGGATTCTATCTACACACGAATAAATAATAAGAACCTACTTAAACACAATTGATTTGTAATAAAATTAGCCCGAGATAACACCCGCCAAACGCGCGAGAACCAACAACTGACTTTGACAGTATTTTTTTTATTCCGAATGAACCAGCGTTGTACTACTGTCGTATTTTTAGCATGAAGAAATCTATTAAGATTCGAGTAGAAAAGAGAAAAAGTATTAAAACACCGTGTGATAGAAAGAAATAAATATATTATGATGTCGTATCGCACTGGAACGGAAAAAGGGACAATAGTCACTTGTAGCACTCAACGGTAAAATCAAAAATGGGACAAAAGTCCCTTCGAGCACTCAAGGGG